TGTTGTTCCTCATCTTGTTTAACAGGTACCTTTGTCTCTGTTATGTCCAGCAGGGTGCAACGAAAGAGTAACAAAGGAAATTTTCGTAAAGTAATAATCTGTGCCAGCTCACCACAGCTATCAAAGTAGAATGTTTCTGCCACAGTTTCATTCCTACACCAGTCCTGAGTGAAAAATGTCACAGGAGCATATTGGTACCAGTTATTTTAAAGAAATAACTTAAAAAGTAGTGTTTAGGAATTGCAGTCATTTTTTATGTAATCCCTCCATTTTCACAGGCTGAAAATTAATTGGACAAACTAACAGAATAATAAATACAAGAATTATTTTTAATTCCAGGATGCAAATCACTTGTGTGAAGTTTGGAACCCATGGACATCACCAAATTCAGAGTTCCTCTCTTGAGACGCTTTGCCAGGCCTTTACTGCATCCGCCTTCAGTTGCTGCTTTTTTGTTGCTCTTTCAGCTCAACTGGGTTGAGATCAGGTGACAGACTCAGCCATTTAAAATCATTCCATTAAGGCAAAGGCCTTAAGAAGCTCTTGGGTTGCTTTCACGGTATGTTTTGCGTCATTATCCGTCTGTACTGTGAAGTGCGTATCAGTCCTATCAATTTTGCAGCATTTGACTGAATCTGAGCAGAAAGTAGAGCTCTGTACACTTCAGAATTCATCCTGTTAGCTCTATCAGCAATTACATCATCTATAAACACCAGTGACCCAGTTCCACTGGCAGCTGTACATGTTCCTGCCGTAAAACTGTCTCCACCATGTTTGACAGACAGTGTGTTTTGCTTCAGTTCATGAGCCCCTCTTTTCCTTATCTTCCTATCATTCTGGGACAAGTTCATCTGGTTTTATATGTCCAAAGAATTTTGTTCCAGAACTGGGCAGGCTTTTTTAGATGATAGATTTAGATTTTAGACTTAAGCCTCATTGGCTTAAATCAGGCCAATATTACTCTCCTATTTTGCGTGTCCAACTCAGAGCATATTAAAAATAAAGAAAAAACTTTGAATTTATGCGTTGAAGTTGACTGTTTGTTGTGAATTCCCAAGCTTATGGCGATGCTAATGACACACTGCATTCACCAAGCCACTTATCCTCCAGGGCTGCAGGGGGTGCTGGAGCCTATCCCAGCAGTCATTGGGTGGAAGGCAGGAAACATCCTGGACAGGCCACCCGTCCATCACAGGGCAGATACATTCACACCTACAGGCAATTTGGCATCTCCAATTCCCCTGACAGCATGTCTTTGGACTGTGGGAGAAAACTGACACAGACACGGCGAGAACATACAAACTCCACACAGAGAGGACCCTGGTTGCCCGGCCGAGGAATCAAACCAAGGTCATTCTTGCTGTGAGACGACCGTGCTGCCCCTCTTTTCTGGAGTGAAGGCAAAATTGAGTAGAGTAAATTGAGTAGCTGCTCCTATCTCTGTCATGTAGACTGAGATTTCTTATCCTGTATGTGAAACTGCTTATCAGCCCAATTACTGTCCAATTACTTTTGAGCCTGTGATAATGGAGGGAATGTGTAAAAAAATGGCTGAAATTCCTAAACAGTTATTGTAATATATTCGTTAAACCCTTTAAAATGAAGCTGAAAGTCAGTCACATCTTTATTGTTTCATTTCAAATCCATTGTGGTGGTGTACAGAGGCAAAATTGCAACAATTGTATCACTGTCCAAATACTTATGGACCTGAATGTATGAGTAAGATTGCTAATGATAAAATCGAAAAAAAAAAAGGGTTGCCTTGCACTGCTTCTCCACCATGAATGGCTTTTGGAAAATACATTTTAAGGTCCAAGTCATGTCTCAAAACTATTGAAAAACAATGCCTCAGGCATCAAGCAGTGTTTTTAGGAATATTTCATGTAATCACTTTCTGTGAGAAGGATTTTAGAGGAATTCAACTAGTTAGATGTCTGGTTCCTATCACCATCCACTATGAACAATACTGACTCAGTAGGTTTCTCTAGAAGGATTTCACACCAAACCACTCTGAATGACTTTGTCTACATATTAACCATTGAATTATGCAGAATATTATAAAGATTAATTATAAAGAATCCCCATTAATTAACTATATTTGTCTAGTTTAAAATTGCTTGTACTGTTATTTCAGAGGTCAGTATTACTTAATATTTGTGTGGTTACTGTTAAAGTGTAGCTGTAAACTCTAGTTAAATAGCTAACTGTCTAATGCAGTGAAATAGTGGAGCATGAGCTTCTAAGTCAGGGCTTTATGTGTAAGTCTCTCACACATTCAGTCCTTGAGTCAATCAGAACAAATGTTCATAGATTGAGTAAAGGCTGACCAGTATTTACGCAAGCAGGACGCATCACAACTGACGGGATCTGCCCAGTAGGTTTAAACAACAGGATTTTTGGGGGAGTATAAGGCTGTGCTATATGAGACATAGGCATTCTGGTTTGCAGTTTTTGTGACAGAAAGACTTGTGCAGTTAAGAATGTATCCAGGCTTGTGGTTTTAACCTCAGTTATGACGGAATGCTTCCAAAAATGTATGGTATCTGGTCTCAAGGCACATGTAAACTAGACCTACTCAGCTTGGCGTATAGGATCGGTTGAGACATGGATGATGCTACTTGCTACTGATAGTGTCATTCATTAGTCATTTGGAAGTGATTGTAATGCTTACGCACAATGGCTGTTTCATGTTTAGGCCTGTGTTTCTGGGTAACCACGTGGGAAATAACCACAGTAAATGGTTAAAGCCCCCACCTATGCATATTCATGATTTTTTTCTGACTACTATCTATAGTTTTTGTGATGTTTTGCTATGAACTGGAAGAGAAAGAATGCTGTTGGTCTTTTCTGGTCAGAGATTGTGACCTTTTTCTGCCATTTTCTTCAGTTTGATTTGGGTTGGGTGGGACTGGATTCAGCATAGGTGCCATCAGATCTGCCAAAGTACCAATCAGAGTTAGCAATGTGTATACTCACATTCCTCTCCCTCCCATAAATTGACTGTTCTCCTGCGTCCCAAACAAAACTCCCAGCCAGTAGGTTATTAAAGCTTTTCTAAATTTGTCAGTTGTTTGTTATAAAGGTTTATTACACTTGTGGTAACCATCCCTAATAAACACAAGAAATCAGTTAAACCATTAAAATCCCAGGCTTATTACATACTAAGGCTTATTATTCAGTAATTACAGGGAATTTGATTCAAACTGGCTGACCTGTTCTTAGGTTATTGAAGTGTGTAGTAAAACTTTGGGCCTGCTGGTGGGCCCTGACCCAAACAACAGAGTCGCAATTGAATCTCCAAAGCAATATGTTTATCTAAGAGTCACATCCAGGGAGAAGCTCTTAGTAAAAACCCAGAGATCTCCAGCTGAAACAAAGATTACAGAAGGTTAAATGGGCCCCAAAACTGGTTACAAACCATTGGTTACCTAATTGTGATCTGAATGATCAAAAAAGTATTAACATACATGCCAAATAAATCAGAAGGAAGAAAATGGTATATGGTCACACTGTTCACCTCACTGTGGCCCTAACAATGGTTATCCCCTAGCTAATCTCAGAAAGAAACAACTGAGATACAATTTACATCTAAAGTGAAGGAGATGTTCAACTCCTATAATTTGTAGCACACTAACACATTCCAAAACTTCAGTTTAACCTATAGAATCACACAGTTTGCAAATACACAGTGCAGTGAAAGTTCACTATTAAGAGTATGGAGTGTAATTAACTATAAGATCAACTATTAGTAAGTGAAATTGTTTACATTGTTGTTTGTTCCTACCTGCATAAGTCACCTGTTGAGGGATCCTACCATAAGCAAGTAGTTCTATTTACCAGAGTGTGATAGCTAGCAGTCCACCTTAACTGCAGGAATTAAGCAATACAATAAAGTAGAAGACACACAGGGGTAGCCATGACCCTCTGCGAGAAGTGTTCTTTATTGAACACACTGACAGAAAGGTGCACATACAGAGAGTGGGAGAGGTCATCAGTAGCCATACTCTTCTTCCTGACAGTGACCCCCCCCACACACACAAAACCCACAGCCCCTGACACTAAATAACACCAGTATCACATTCACATAACTATAACCAACAGACAACAACAACAAACAACAACACTGTGTCCCTTTGTTGGAGGGCGTGCACCACCATGAGCCCTTGCTCATGGTCATCTGTATAGCCACACCCCAGAGTCTTAGGTACCAGGACCAGCAAGTAGCAGAATGCTACACAGCTACCCCTTCAAATGTCATCTGGTCCCCAGCGACCTACCAGCTCGAGCCGTTGGGCACCAGTCCTCCCATAATGTGCCACGTCAGGTTCTGCTCTGCTGGGGTGGGGGCAGCAACAGTGGCGCTCGTCCCGACCCCTCCGCTCAAAATGTGATTAGATCTCTAAAATGATCTTTAGAAAGCCTGCTCTCACGTTTTAACTCACCATTCAGAGAGTATTTTCTTGTGGGGGAAAATCAACTAGATAGGGCAGAAGCAAACCTGCCTGCTGCTTGTGCCATCTCTAGCATCGTTGGAGGTGCCACTCACCATGTTTGCATGCAGCAAACACGCTTATTAAAAGAGCTCTGAACACCCTTTTTGAGTAAAATGTTGATTTTGTATTTGAGACCTAAACATCGAGCTGGACCTTCTTTTTGATGTTGTGCGTGTGCCCTAGATATGTGAAGGCATATTACCTGGTCTGAAAGACTCCAGCCTAATCCAACCTGACTTTAAACTTCCCTTTCAGGCCTTACAGGGTGACTTGTAGCAGCATACGGAAACCATATTTTAGTGTGTTTTTCTTTATAATTTCAGCAAAAAACTTAGATAGTGCAGCTTTAAACCATTAAATAATACATTGTGAGAATAAACATTAACATTTTCAATACAAAAAGAAATTCAGTGCTTAAAATACATGAAAGCTGATGGTTTTATTTGTTTGCTTTATGTCACCTTTGTACTACTTCTAATTGTTTTTGTTTATTTTGTTTTTCCACAGGTTCTTCTTATCTGCTTACTGGCTGTAATCCTAGCAATCGTGTTTATCTTGAAACTACACTGTGATGAGAAAGGTATGGACTTTACTATTGAAGTTAATAAGTTTGTTGCCTGTTTGCCCACAGACATATATTGAAAAAGGTACACATTGTGAAGAGAAAATGAATTAATTAAGTACTGATGCATTCATAAATTTAGCACATATCTTGACTGATACACTGATATTTACTAATATGCAATGTACTATGTTTATTGTTTGAGCAACCCGATATGTATTTTTGTACATATTAGGTTGAGTTTTGAGACACTAATAATTTTCAATACAATATAAAATATATCGTTCTACCAAACTGATTCAAAAGACTTTAGACTAACATCCTTTTTCTTTGAGTGACTATAAAAATTTTGAAAGGGTTTTTCTATTGATACAAGCCTCACATCATAACAATAGAAGAACGCTTTTTGGTGGTACATAGAACCATTTTCAAAAAGGTTCTATACAGAACCATCTACAGCACATTTTCCATCAATCTGAAGAACGCTTTCACGATGCAAAGAACCCTTTAATTACGCAGAGGATTCTTTGAGTGTTTATGGTTCTAGATAGAACTATTTTCTTTACCCTTGAAGATCTTTTTTAAGAGTGTAAAGAACCCTTGTGGAACCATCTTTTTTAATCATGTAGAGCATTGGGTGGTTAAGGACTACTATGTTTCCTGCATTATTACTGGGCAGCTAATGCCGGGGCTTTGGTCTAATGGCAGTACAGTCATGGAGAAGGGATTTCCTAGAGATTTCCTAAAATGTATCTCACTGGTTGGCTATTAAAAGAGATTTGATTGAAGATTCATCCCTCCCAGTTCTTTTCTCTTTGTCTACACTTTTAAAAAAAGATGGTTCTTCAAGGGTTTTTAATGTGGATCAGAGCAGTTGCAAATATGCTGCATACTGAGAGGCTTAGATATGAGCTGTTTGGCTAATCTTAGAAAATGTTTCAAAACATGGAAAGCTTTTTTAGAGTACCTCGCCAACACATAGGACTGTCAGGCTTGAGGCTGTAGTCTTTTTTGTTTTCTTCTTTTTTCTTGCACTTTTACTCTGGATTCAAATAGCTAATAGAATTGTTAGATGTATGTGAACCTCTTGTAGTGTGTGTAGTGTGGCTTTTAATGATATCGTGTACAATGAGTATATGGATATAGATATGCTTTTTATTTATTTGTTTATTTTCTTTCCTTCTCTCTCTCTCTGTCGCCATCTTTCTTGTTTTGCTTGTTTTGCTATATTATTTTTTCTTTCCTTATTTACTCCATTACATTGTAATAAGGCTACCATATCACTGTTAACATGTGGGTGCAAGTAATATCTAAAATTTCCATGAATAAATTTATCAAAAAAGAAACATCCATTGAACGGTTCTTAGGGAGACTTTGTGGAATCTCGCAAAGAACTCTTTCTGTCTTTTAAGAGTGTATTTTGGAGCCCTGTTGTTAATTCTTCTGTGCTCCACATTAGGTTTGAAGTTCCACCAGCAGCCAGCTGAGTTCTTAAAATAGATTTTGAAAGCTTGCAGGTTTAAATCAGGGGTGATGACCTTCAGTCCCAGAGGGCTGGAGTCCAGCACTGTTTGGAGATGTTCCTGCTCAAACATACTTGATTCATCTTAGCACCTAGTTGTCAGGTTTGGTGTTCAGAGCAGGAGAATCACCAACCTATGCTGGACACCGGCCCTCCAGGACCACAGTCAGCCACTTCTCATCTAAATGCTGGTCTCAATGTTATAATTTATTAACACCACTGATTTTTTTGAATGACGATAAAGTATTTTCCTGGTTTTGACCCTTCTGACCACTCTGAAGCCCAGTCAGAGAGGATTCATGAAGCCAGAGCTGCCATGAAAAAATATTTCGATGAATACCAGAGGTCAGGGGGAGGTCTCATTCCACCTTTATGCTGACAGCAGAGGCTTGAGTCTTGCACACAAAAGCAGGAAATTGTGGGCCATTTCACTAAACTTTAACAATTATTCACCTTCCCTGCATAATTACTTGTGGCTATTTGTCCAGTCAGCTGTCAGGGGTTTCTGTATTTCTGGTTTGTTGTTTGTTGTTTTTGCATCACAATGCAGCACATTTTCATTAGAGAATTAGGAAAGAAATGCTAACATGACTTCCACATTTATTTTTGTATTTATTTGTTTATTTTGGTAATTTCCTTAACTTTTTTTTTTGGAAGCAAACAAAAATAAACACTTTAGAGCTACATCTCAATATTAAATGAACTGAGCATTACAAGCTCATTTACAGTCAGATCTCATGTTTCTATAAGTGTGGCTGAAATAAGTGAGAAAGGCGATTTTCTAACACGGCTCAATCGTTTGGCAAGCTACAGAATACACAACTGAATAGAGGTGCAAATCGGTAGCTATCAACATCCTTACTAGAGCAAGTTATTTGTTTCAGCTGTTCATAATCAACACAATAAACAGCTGCTCGAGTCCTGTGTGGAGAAAAGTAGCTGCTGAAACTGCTGTTTTCTCCATGAGGTTGAAGTTGGCCACTTATTTGCCAGCTTATTGTTAATACTTTCTGTTTCACCTTAAATGGAGCATCAATTACATGTTACTGCTGCTCCATTTAAGGTGGAATGGAAAATTCAGATGAGAAGCTTACATTTTCTCCTCGCTCCAGTAACAGACACATTTGGTGATGTCGTAACAAATGATTAGCAAATTTAAAGTATTACCACAAGTATTTGATCCTCATGTTAAGCAACGTTGGCACTCTGTAACCATTCGATCTACCATTCTTTGTCCATCATCACTGTGCTTAACTGAGATTCGTCACCATTTCGAACAGCTTGGCTAATCAACCATCCCAGACAGGATAACTAAACCAGTTTTTTCCAGTTCCAAGAGGAGTTTGTGGTTATCACTTTTAGGCATATAATGGACTGTGTCAAGTAGAACTATAGAAGCTATTCCTGTTATCACACATTTTATACTGTGAAATCTAACTGTATTCAAGTCACAACACGTATCGTCCCATATCGAAAAACATAAATATTAACATGAACGTTTTGACAAAGACGAAGTACGTTGAGTCCGAAGTATCATTTATAGGCAAAAGAGCACTGATGGGGCAACATCAGTGATATCAGTAGTATTAGCACCAGACAAAGCCTTCCGCAAACTACACTGGGCAGTTCTTTTTGGATAAATAAATAAAAGTGGAAATTATAGTTACATGCAACATGCAGACACTGTTGCGCTTAGTAGACGCCAGTTATGAAAATTTAGCAACTATGTTCACCTTTACTTCATGTTCACCCTCTATTCATGTGAACTTCATGTTCAGGTTCATGTTCAGTGCATTGCTTTTCAAAGGAATCTCTCTTTAGGGTTATATAAGCAAATATGATTAATCAGAATTAACTACACTAACTTGCATGATTAATCGTGATTGATCGTTTACATCATTTGGCAGCCCTAATTCTGAACCATGCAGATCTTTGCTTTTCCCTCTGACAGTGAACAGCTGTAAGGGTCGATGTCTGTCAGAGAAGAGAAGCGTCGGTGCCACATGCCACTGTGATACAGCATGTGTGGATGAAGGAAACTGCTGTCTGGACTATAAAGAAGTGTGTGTGGAGCCAAGTAAGTCTCACAGCTCATCTCCATAAATCAGCACTCCCATGGTCATCTGAAATGGGTTGCAAATTACATGTATGGTGTCAGTGATATAGGTCATTCTCTCAAAACCGCCTCAAAACATGTCCATAAATATTTGAGTGTAACATGCATCACATACATAAACAATATCCATATAATTTAGTAGATCAGTTGGAGCTCTATATGGTACTGTGAAAAGGTTTGGGGAAGTTTTTTTAACAGTAATTATCATTACTGCAGTGTATCCACATTTGTGTTTATATATATATATATATATATATATATATATATATATATATATATATATATATATGCACTTATTTTTTGCTTTTACAGGATAATCTTCAACCTTACATGTGTTGCAGTATTGAGAATTTGGTCACTTAAATTGGAAAATGTAGCTAAAAATCCATTTAAAACCAATGAAATCACTTTTATTTTTAATCATACAACTAGGCATCACTGTTTGTTTATCAATGTAAAGGGCAGCCACTATGTTCAAATGGTGTAGAGAAATGAAGATTGACAAATCTGCATTAGACAAAAAAATTTAGACCAATAAAATATACAGTAAAAGAAAAGTCAGTTAAATTTTTTCAGGTTGGGCCACAGTATTTGTCATGTTTGTGAGAATATCAGTTTGAAACTTGCACGTTTTACTCAGTACTTTTATAACAGCTCAATATACAGGTAATGCGCATAATTTAATGGCATGCAGGAGAAAGAGGGAGGAGACTCATTTTACCCATTAAGAGCGATTACAACATATTGTCAGTGATTAGAGAACAATAAACCAACAAAACTGGAACTAGAATTTTCTTATACGCTGGAAGGGCTGCTGGCTGTGCCAACTGCTGTAATGCAGGTGAGATTTTTCTCATCCAGCTTCCACTCCTTCAGTGCAGAAAAGAATGTTTCAGGCAGATCTGCTGTGGGATCCTCCACTATAAAGCTTGTCTGAAGGTATTTTGATTCCGACATGTATGGTGCCATGTTGACATTTGAGCATGTCACTAGTATGAGAAAAGTGTGAGGCGCCCTGAATAAGCCATTCCACGTTTTTGTGGGTTTTTGAGATACAGTTCTGGCGTGTCCATTTTTTAAAAGTATTTAGAGTAGGGCTGGGTTGGTAGCTTAGTAGTAGGCGGGGTCAACCAGCATCCAGAAGGTCACTGGTTCAGATCCCTACTGAATATACCTTGTTGGGCCATTGGGTAACCGCCCCCTCCCATTGCCTCATGCAGTGCTGTACTAGCCTGGGCTTCCATACCTGTGTACAACCCCATTTCCAAAAAAGAAATAAATAAAAATAAAATAAATAAAAAATAGGATAAATAAAAATAGGATGCCATGATATGCAATCATGTAAACCTTTTTTTTAAAAGAAAATACTACAAAGAAAACATATAAAATCTTGAAAATGAGAATTTTTTTTTTTTTTCAAAAATATACTATATTTTGAATTTGATGCTCATCAGTTCGGCGTCTCCTTTGTCGAATTTTCATTTCATAATGCGCCAAATGTTTTCAATGGGTGACAGTTCTGGACTGCAGGCAGGCCAGTTTAGCACCCAGACTCTTTAACTATGGAGCAATGCTGTTGTAATACATGCAGAATGTGGCTTCACATTGTCTTCCTGAAATAATCAAGACCCTCTCTGAAAAAGACGTTGTCTGGACGGCAGCATGTGTTGCCAAAACATGTATATATCATTCAGCATTAATGGTGCCTTCACAGATGTGCACATCGCCCATGCCATGTACACTAATGGACCCCTATACCATCATGAATACTGGCTTTTGAACTGTGCACTGATAACAAGCTGAGTGGTCTTTAGCCCGGAGGACACAGTGTCCATGATTTCCAAAAATAATTTCAAATCTTGATTCGTCGGACCACAGGACACTTTTCCACTTCCCCTCAGTCCATTATAAATGAATTCGCGCCCAGATAAGACAGTGGCGTTTCTGGATCCTGTTTATATTTGGTTTCTTCTTTGCGTTTTAGAGTTTTAACTTGCATTTGCGACAAACTGTTTTCACAGACAGTGTTTTTCAGAAGTGTTCCTGAGTCCATGCAGTGATTTCCACTACAGATGTCTGTTTTTAATGCAGTGCTGCTTGAGGGCCAAAAGATCATGGCCATATATACTGTTTTTTCACCTTGTCTCTTGCATACAGAGATTTCTCCAGATTCTCTGAATCTTTTAATGTTCTCATGTACTGCAGATGATGAAAAGCAAAAGTTCTTTGCTATTTTACATTAAGAAACATTATTCTTGAATTGTTGCACTATTTGCCTGCACAGCCTTTTACAGAGTGGTGAACCCCTCCTCATCTTTACTTCTGAGAGACTCTTTTTCTACCCAGTTATGTTAATGACCTATTGCCAATTAACCACGAGGTGTTTTTTTTTTAGACTTACACAAATTCACCAGCTTTTTGTTGTCCCCATCCCAATTTTTTTGGAACGTGTCTACAACAAAAAAAATGGTTCACTGGAAAATAAGCCCGACCTGAGCCCGAAAAATCGACCCTTGCATGACCTGAAAACCAATGTTATTAGTTTGTAGAGTGAATAAGTGATGGTTGATGTGGAGAGAGAGAGAAAATGTGGAAATTATTATTGTGGAAACATCTCTATTTTCTGTTGCAAGCAATGTTTTCAATCTTCTCTTGTTTTTTTTATGATTTTGTTTGCAAGACAGATCAATGCTGAATTCCTGCAAGTTTTGTTGAGGTACAGATCCACACTTTAAATGAAAAAGGTTTAAAAAAAATCAGGGTCTTTTAAATGCCCGCTCCTGGGTCGCAAAGTGACAAATTTCCCTTGTAGGACTAATAAAATACATAACAGTCATGAGACCTGTTTGCATGGGATTAGTTTTCCATTGGGAAGGTGGAGTAATGCTAGTTTTCCACAGGATGTCTGTAATGTTAATGACCAATTCACACAGCATAACAAGTCTCGGTATAAATGTGGCCACTCCATCTACACACAGCCTTTACCCCAGAAAACATTTAATTTGGCTGTTATTTCATTTACTCTAACTATGTACTTTGCTGTCTTAAGTGAATGCACTGTGTCATTAACATCACCATTAGAGAATTCACAGCCAATAGTCAACTTCACTGCATGAAATCAAACTATTCTGTTCTTCTGTAATTTTTACGTTTCACATGTGAGGTAGGACAGTAACGTTACATATCTGCTTGATTTTTGCCAAAGAGAACGAAAGGACACACTTCTTTAAGTGCCTCTATACATAAAACCTCTGTTGTCACAGGACATAATAGCATTTTACAGATTTGTCAATTTGTACAGGACTAATATAACCTGGGTATTTCCTTAAACTGTCAATTTCTTCACCTTGGCTTGTCAGGCAACTTGAAATACACTAAAAATAAGTGGGTATACGCATAAAGCTATGATTAGAAGTCAGTATGCACAAACAGCTTGCTGAAAAAGTGTACAGCATGCATATGCCCTGAGATTTGGTTCAAGACTATATAAGCTAATGTTGATTTTACCTTTTTCTGAGATGGTTTTCCTTTCAGCTTTTACTCATGTTTTTCCCACATTCATTACTCTGACATCATTTTTCCACCAGGTCAACTATGGACTTGCTCCAAACTCCGCTGCGGGGAGGTTAGCTTGCCCTATAGTCTTTGCTCGTGTGCTGCAGACTGCAGTGAAAAAGGCAACTGCTGTGCAAACTACAAGAGTGTATGTGAAGGTGAGGATGTTATTCAGATAATTATTTAGGCTGAATCATAGTTTGAGTGACATTCACTTTCACTTGGGAATTTCTCACCATCTCCGTCTCTTGGCTGAATGCCAAAACTACCATAATGTAAGTGTGTTACCGGGACTGTTAATAAGAAAAAAGAAACCTCGGGAAATTCATGGGCAAGGACCATCAGTTGACCATTTAGGGGTGCCTTCTTCCTTTCAGAATGTTATTTGTTCACTTGTTTGTGACTTACCAGCAAAAAAACAAAACACTTAAAAGGAATGACCTTAAGTGGACCTTAATTAAGCCAGATCTGGGCTCTTAATGCTTTATTTAAACTACAGATAGAGTTGGTTACAGTATAAGTGAATCAGGCTCACTACCATGGCTACCATAGCTCTGCTGCCCATAAACAGAGTCATGCAACAACTATTCTGGGAGAAAGACCACACCTAAAACTTGTCCCATCTCGCTACTCCCCATCTACCATTCTCGGTGATATATTTTTGTTGCGTGGCACCGCATTGTGCTGCCCCCTGATAAAGCACTTGAGGTCATTTAGAATCATCCCTGCCACTCTAGACTTGTGGGCCTCTGAGGAATAACACAGACACGCATCACCAACCTCTTTAACTCAAAACACAGTGTTTAAATGATCGTTTCATTTGTTGAAGAAAAAACATTTTGCAGCACCTTTGCTATCTGTGTGAAAAAGTAATTGCCCCCTAAATTTCACTGGTTGTGCCACATTTAGCAACAACAACTGCAACTGCAACCTAATGTTTCCTATAGCTGGAGATCAAGTTTCACATTTCTGGCCCACTCTTCTTTGCGGAATTGCTTTAACTTAGCCACATTTGAATGGCTTTCAAACATGAGGTGTCCGTTTAAGGTCCTCCTACAGCAGCTCAGTGAGGTCAGAACCTTCACTAGGCCACTCCAGAACCTTTATTTTGGTTCTTTTGAGCCATTTAGAGGTGGACTGGCTCTTGTGTTTCGTATTGTCGTCTTGCTGCATAACCTAGTTACTCTGGATCTTCGGATCATGAGCAGATGGCCGGACATTCTCCTACAGAACTTCATGGACCAACACTACCACCACTGTTTGGTATGATGTTCTTATTGTGAAATGCTCTGTTAGCTTTACACTAGTTGCCTTCCGAAAAAAGTTGCACTTTTGACCCATCAGTCCACAGAAGATTGTTCTATAAAAGCTTGGGAATCATTAATATGTTTTAGACAAATGTTCTTCTTGGTTAGCAGTGATTTTCACCTTGCAGGGCTTTCATGGATACTATTTTTGCCCTCTTTCGAATGGTGAAATCATTATCGCTAACCTTATCTGAGCCACGTGAGGGACTGTGGTAGGCTGGCCACAGAAGATTCACTTCTGTGCCAAGTTTTCTTCATTTGGAGATAATGACTCTGTGGTTTGCTGGAATTCCAGAGCCTTAGAAATGGCTTTGTAATCCTTCCCAGACTGATATACTTCCTTTCTTACCTTTCCAATCACTGTGTGCTGCTTGTCGAGACCTTTTAGCCCAAGTGTTAGGGGATAAGATTTACAAGGGCTGGCAGTAATCAATCCTTGGTATGTCTAGTTTAATTGATCCCAATTGTCAGATAAATGGTTGCTTGAGTAACTAAGAAGGCAGTTACTTTTTCACACAAGTCACACCAAGTAGTGTTGAATAACTTTTTTCCTTCAATGAGATGATCATTTAAAAACGATATTTTGTGTTTACTCAGGTTGTCTTTTGTTTGAAGATCTGAAAGAATTAAGTGTGACAAAGATGAAAAACAGAAGACATCAGAAGGGGGCAAATACTTCATGATACTGTACAGACCGACGCCTCATTGTGCATTGCGTCTTTATCGAGGGTGCTGATACCTCTAAAGGGCACTGAATTATGTTGGCTATTTTGCTTTTTTCACTTAAGCCCATGACTAATTCAGCACTAAGCTTAGCAATGACCTTTTTTATTTTTATAGGACAAAAGTCATGGCTTGAAGAGGAATGTGTGGATATCAAGACACCACAATGTCCTGCAGGGTAATATGATACGGTTGATCAAGTTTAGTATGCATGCAAATTGTATGTAAATGCCTGTGCCCTGATTGTTATATTTACACTTATGTTACTTTTAATGTGTCTCTGCACTAATTTATCTAAACTCTTAGGGATTATAGACAGTGACCACACTGATTTCTGTGGTCTCAAAAAAAAATGAAAGTTCCTAAATGGTTCTTGGCTCAGACGCTTGGATGAATGTAATTTGTACTACTATGCAAAACTACAAACCACCCTTTCATTTATTTCATTTCCAGTGAAAACAGCAATTAAGTACGTTATTCATTTTTCAGCCTCAGAAAAAATCAGAAAGTAGATATTTAATAGAAAATTACAGAGAAGCATTACTATTTAAATATAACACTTTTCAGTATTTAGCATGTCCACCCTTTACCTTTACTACAGCTTTTTTTTTAAAGAGAGTTCAGTCTTATAAGTTTATTACATTTTCTGTTTCTAACAATCCAAGCAAGTGTAAGTTTATAAAGGGTGGCCTCTGACTTTTAAACAGTACTGCATTTAAATGTTAAATATTGGCTTTGTGGAAACATTTTACATTAACTACATACACATAAAAGATTCATTGCATATTCTTAAACTGTACATTTCATTACAATTACCGTTTAGAAAAATTCATTAAATGTATTTGTGAACGAGTAGTGATGATTAAAAAATATGTCCAATGATGCTCACTATGTACTGTGTAATAGCCTAGAATACTAACCACATGGTAGGGCTACTCAAAAGATATCCATATTACGTGTTTATGTTCGTAAAAGAACTCAGAATTGATGCAGAATCTTCAGAAAACGCAATGTTGGTCAAGTATAAGAGATAACAGGTTGACATCTGCGTTAGCAAGGATATGGGCTGATATGAATCACAGGACCGAGGCTCTTTGATCCTTTGGAGTGTAGGCCTGGCGTAAAGTCTTTTGCTTTGGGCTATTAGTAGGAATGTTTAGAGATCCAAAAAATGAATTGAGTCAAAACATTATGACCGCTTACAGATGGAGCAAACGACACTGATGATCTCAGAAGAGTAGGGCATCTCAACGTCTGGAATATATTAGATGTTAATCAAACAGTCAGCATGTAGTCAACATGAAGCCATAATGCAGGTAACTGTATTTCAACAGATAAGACAGATTACAAGTACATATTAATTAAAATTTATACAATTTTAAGCACTTGGAGGATGGGGTGGTGATGGGATCAGATGCTGGGGATTGCTAGGGTGGGGACAGAATTTCATCCCCATGCAGCTTTCTGCATCTGAAGTGGTTAATGCCTCTAAAAGCTACATCACAGAAAGCTATTATGTGAAATGCCTATAAATACCTGAATACCTGAGAATACCTGAGAGTTTGTTTATGATATTTTTAAAATAGAAGATTGAAGATTTTGGCATATATATGTACTTTAAAAAATCGGTTTATGGTGCAGGGATACATGCAGGTTGGTACATGTAAAGTAGTCCCAAAGAAATTGTGTATGTACTCTATTGCCATTGTCAGCCTATCATATAAAAACTCAGAGGCACATGTAGGTTCACTGGTGGTTTTGGACATCTGGTTCCTATCAGCACCACTGTAAAGAAATCTGAGTCTGTAAATTTCTCCACAATGCACCATTTCACATCAAACCACTCTGAATGACTTTCTTTACATTACAATCACCACATTATACACAATTAACCCCTTAGGATTTAGAGTTAACCCCTTAAACCCTTAAAAAGTTTTATTACACACTTAGTATTGTTAGATCCTGTATTTTTGGGCTTATGCAGACTTTTGTATATTTAGTTTAGATATTTGAACTTAGGAAAGTCTGCTATATTGTAATTCTAACAGCCCCATCAACCATTTGGAAATTTGCCATTTGTCCTTATATCACAGGTTCTTAAGTCTACAAGTCTACATCAGGGTCATTTTCTCTCTAGTGGCTAACCGTATCTACTGCGAAGTTCCCGAGAAATTGCGATCTAATAACATGTAATAAGTCTGGGATTTTAAGAGGTTAAGGTATCTAATGTAAATGCCTTACTGGTGCTTTCATTACTCTACTGCTAACACTAAGGCGTGTGCAGTTAGTTCACTGTGTATTCTTTGTTTCATGCCAAGATAATTACAGGATGTAAGCTGTTTGTTTGTGTGCCTGTTTAAAAATATTAGTCTACCATATGTTGCTCCTTTCATGAAAAGGGAAGATTGTGTGCGACCTTTTTGTCTATGAGTGTGGAAAATACCTAAATTAAATGCTTGTTTGCTTGACAAAAAAACCTTTATTTCTGTTTTATAAAGAAAAGAGAACACAATGGATACAGTGGAAAATTTTACCAGGGTGGCATTGTGAGTATGCGAGCACGGTTGTGGGGCGCTGGGAGGTTGTACCGTTGTTCTGCAAATTGCCATTAGCAAAACAATTCTCCTCTTAAAGGTGCAAGCACCCTCCCCACAGCAAGGTGAAAGACAAGGACATGGCAGAAATTTTGGAATGGCATCTGGGGTGGCCAGTCAGATTTCAGCAGGGCACATGCCACCTGCCACCCTTTTAAAACCGCACCTGAATACAAGCGTCTTAATTACTGCTCTAGACAAAACCTAAGGTCCTATAAAAACTTCCATACCCAATTTCCAGTTATCCAAAAAGCCATTTAAATGATTGAATGACTTAATAAAATGAACATACTACTTAAAATAATGTTAAAATGTGTAAAGTAGGGGCTGCTGAGGCAGACGAGGGGACAAGATACAGGTGCGAGCATCCTTTTACAGTCTTTATTATGAACATCCAGAGAGTATGCAGGAACATAAATGATGTGCGGACCATGAATAAAACAGAAAACAAGATAATACAGAGACCTAAACTAAGAAAAACAGTGAACATTCATTCTAGATAAATACAAGCAGTGAAAACCAAGCACTATTAACACAAAATCAAACAGAAAAATGAACACGAGTGTAAACACAAAAATTAACTTGAACATGAACTTGAAACGGAGAACTATAAGCACAGAACTGAAGACACTAACAAAGAGCAGGGGAGAACGAACTGGGCCTAAGAACAAAGAGCACACGTATATAAGAGTAATTCTGGCCGAGGAACAAGAGAAACAGTGGGGTATATACACAAACACACAAGACAAAGGACAGCTCAGCACATTTTACAAGGGCGGAGCCAGAAACAAGAAACAGGTGTGGGTTGAAGACAGAGCAGGACAGGGGGGGAGCTACTACAGCAACACAAGCACATGGACTAGAAAACAAAGACACATGGCAGACCTAAACAAAGGCACATAGTACAGGAAAACAAGGAAACAAAGGCAGAAACAAAGAAAGACACGGACAAGGCACAGCAGGACGTTACAAAATGATGGCAAATCAGCCAATCAGATTTTAGAGTCAGAATTTTCAGTTTTATAAATATCATTAGATAATAGTGACAAAGTAATTTACACTTTTGATCAGTAATTTTACAAAGAAAAGAAGACAAAGCAGTATTTCACTTTTTGAGAGTTGGATTATAAAAATGGTATCATATAGGAGTGAGCAATATCATAATATTTATTGCCATCATGATAAATTACATCACAGTATTGTTTTCTAAGCATACCATAAATATTATCAGTACAAATCAGCATCATCAGTAAAAATAATTAGGAGGGTGAAGCAGTGATGCTTTTCTTTGTTTTGACAGCTTTTCCAAACCGCCACTAATCCTGATATCTCTGGACGGCTTCAGAGCGGGATACCTGGAATCCTATAGCGGCCTTCTTCCAACCATCAAAAAATTAAGTAAGTTGTTGTTGTTGATTGATTGTGTCTCAGAGGTTTTGCTGAAATCATTTTACCTAGTTCTAGATTAGTCTGCACTGTTAATGGAGATTCTCCACTTAAAATCTTTTTCAATTGTAGTCTAAGACTAAGCTTTATCTAAACACAGTTGGCTGGAACTGTTCTAGTTCTCAATATACATTGATGAGCCAAAACATTATGAGTTGAAGCAAATATTGTTGATTATCTCATAATAACGGCGCATGACAAGGTCTGGGATACATTAGATGGTAAGCAAGCGATCGGGTCTCATAATTGATAGTGGGCTCCAGGAGAAACTGGCAGTCTTGAAGAGCTGAGTGATTTTGACTGTGATGAAATCATCATGGACAGAAGACTGTGAACATCTCCGAAATGGCAAGGCTTGTGGGGGGCTCCCAGTATCTACCGACAGTGGTCCGAGGAGAGACAAACCACAAACTGGCGACTATGTGTTGGGCACCAAAGGCTGACTGATGCGTGAAGTCAACAAAGTCTATCCTGACAAAAACTTTACTGTGTCACAAGTCACAGACATTTTTAAATGGTTGAGGAAGGAATGTGTCACTACATTTACAGCCTGCCACATATGGGGCTGACTAGGAGTGTCCATGCTTGTACCTGTGCGCCATCAAAAGCACCTACAAAGGGCATACCTGCTTCGGAACTGGACCTTGGAGCAACGGAAGAAGGTCTGACAAGTCCCGTTTTCTTTTACATCAGATGGACAGCTGGATACATATGCACCACTTACCTGAGGAAGTGATGGCACTGGGATACACTGTGAGAAGAAGAGGAGGGAGAGTGATGCTGTGATCAGTGTTCTGTTGGGAAACCCCAAGTCCGGGCGTTCATGTGGACGTCACTTTCACACCTGCCACCTACCTAAACACTGTTGCGAACCAGTGGGATTCCCCAATTGCAGTGGCCTCTTTCAGGAGGATAATGCGACCTGCCACACTGCTGACATGGATGGATGGATGGATGGATGGATGGATGGATAGATAGATAGACTTTGCAGCTTACAGGACTTAAAGGATCTGCTGCTACTGTCTTGCTGCCAGATACCACAGGGCACCTTCAGAGGTATTGTAGAGACCTCAGCAAGTTGGAATTGTTTGACCAACAGCATGTTAGGCATAATATTTTGGCTTATTGGGTTAAAGTCTAAAGCTGAGAATGACTTTATTAACTGTGATTGTATTATATAAGTTTAGTAAGTTTTTTCTACACTTTTACGCTTTCAGGAACATGTGGAACTTCTACAGCATACATGCGCCCTGCCTATCCTACAAAGACCTTCCCCAATCATTACACCATTGTAACAGTAAGTATATGGTAGAGAATAGCTTGAATGTTGCTTAGGACTGTCCACATTTGTCCATCTGGAACTTTTATCTCTTACATGAGAATTGGGCTCTGATTAGAATGCCCTTGATTTTAGTGCTGTTGTGCATTAAGAAGTTGTGGCGTATTCATATTCTAATCACTTCCGAGTTGCTAGTGATGTATTCCAAGGTGCCATTTGTCGGTCCAATTCTCAGTGAACTTATCTTAACACTTTCTTTCTTTCTTTCTTAACACTTGAACCTGTTGTGTGGCCCTGAGCAAAACAAGCATAACAGATAAGTATCTCCAAAATGGCAACTTTTCAGGAGAGGGCCCTCTTTACTTTAAATGTAAGTTAATGTAAAAAGACTTTATTCCAAGCCATTTTGGAATTTTGGAGCATTTCGATTGGTCCATTTATCATGAAATTTATGAAATTTTCACACTATGTAAAAGGCATCTGGTGTGCTCAAATGGTGCAGAAACCAAAAATAGAAAACAAATAGAAAATAAATTGAAAAGTTTTTTTTTTTGGACAGCAATGATATTCTGCCTATTTTTATTTGTCCTCTGTATCATTATATGTCTCTTTTCTTACTTGCTATAGGAAGTCCACTTAAGTGAAATTTAGCTTATCAACTCTTATCTCACTTGCCATTTATTTACTTTTTGTTTACTTTTTCCTGTAATTTCATTGTCCGACGCAAGTCCAGGAAGTTGGGATCCCTTTCTGAGCCTTGGAACTTCCAAAGTTTGTCCTTTTATCACTAGGGAGTTCTCCTTTGTCAGGAAGGAAGGAATGTTTTCCACCATGAGCTTTATCATACTTCTCCCATAACAAACGAAAACCAGACTAGTTGGGCGTAATTGATGTTTTTTTAAGCTTTTCCAGGAATTGTGGTCAAAACACATTCAGTCAGAGTTAGCCACGGCAAATCCATCATCAGAAACCAAGAATGAGACTGAGAAGGTCAAAACAGGAGAACACGACCACAGAATACAGACTAGAACACAAGAATACAAGGAATTCGACAAAACTTGGAAAGTGACTGATATGATGTAATGCTAACAACAATGATATTGAACCAGCTTTATAAAGAACAGAAGAACTGTATAAAGACACACACCCCAACATCAAAGACAATATTGTGGACTGTTACAAGGGACTGGAGCAAAGCCAAGGCCAGAAAGCTCAAGCCAGGATGAGCAGTCTAAATAGTAGTCTTTTGTGATATTGTTCACAGGGTCTGTATCCAGAGTCACATGGAATTGTGGACAATAAGATGTATGATGTTACCCGCAACGCCAGCTTCAGTTTGAAAAGTGATGAGAAGTTTAACCCCACTTGGTACCAGGGTGAACCAGTAAGTATATGTGAAAAAACCAGTAAATATATGAGAATGGGAAGTCTTATATGTTTACTATTGCTGTAGCATATTGTAGTAACATTAATAATAGTAATAACTTTATTCATAGACCACTTTTCATATCAGTGGCAGCTCAAAGTGCTTAGATGAAGTTGAACAACAATAGAAGAAACTCTGTTCAATTCTCTTCCACTGAGTTGTCTGCGTAATTCAATCTTTAAGATGTAAACAATGTCATTCAGAATTGTTCTAGAGGAACTTACCAGCTCAGATTTTCTTTACAGTGATGGTGACAGGAACCAGGGGTCAGAATATCTACAACACAAATTTTATTTACTATCCAAAACTGCCAGTGATGTCGCATGTGTCTTCTGAGTTTTATATGTAATGTTGATATTGGAAATATCGTAGTAAATCTGAAGTTTTGTTTTATTTTGCCTTACAACAACCTGCATGCACCTGTCCGCAATGAATGGACTTTAAAAATTACTTTCAAGGCAAAAACCTTTTCTCGAAACCAGACATCAGGCAACGTATTTTCAATGTCATATAATAACTGTGAAGGAACTTTTAGAGACATTAAACTCTTCTGGTTCCTATCACCACCACTGTAAACAATTCTTACACTGTAAGCTTCTCTAAAACTGAGCATTTTGCATCAAGCCACTCTGACTTAGTTGACATCTTATTGATATTATTATGCATACGTATTCAAATAAACAGAAATTTCCATTTAAATTTAAAATTAAATGGAATTTCCATTTAAAGATGTTCTTTGGTCCCACGTTCTAATGTCTCTAATAACTCTGTAATTACACATCAACAATGCATACAACAGCTATGTAGCTACTGGTGATATATTTACTGTTACAGATAGATTACAGTAGTACAGCTTATGTAAATACAACACAAAAAACACATATGAATCAGTTTTTACTCTTTTAATTACACGAGTGTATGTTGATTTTTGTAACAGCACATTGTCTCTTATGTAATTACATGTGTAATAGGGTGAACTGCTGATTTTCCAACCAGTGTACACTGCATCTGGACAGGAAATGCCACCTTCCCTAACATTTAGCTAGCTGTGGTAGTGTGCTTGTGTTGTGACATGGTAACCAAAGTCCTGCCTTTAAACCATTCTGTAATGTGGCGGTTTTTACAGCAACAGCAGATGTCCAAATGTGTAAAACGTGCACTTTAAAATAAGTGGACAGTTCCATTGTAGTTGTTATGTAGATACAATGAAATTACAGAATGGTAATCCAGACATTTATTTTGGGGTAGTGTAATACATATCTGTCGATTGATTACATAAATATGTAATTTTACGTATATGTCCAACTGCTGTCCATCTAATTACACACCACCTGTAAGAGCCAGAAAAATATTTTTGGAAAAGAACAGAAGTTCACCCTATTACACGTGTAAATACAGGAGTGAAAACTAAAGTTGATACGTGTGTATTTACATATGCTGTACTACTGTGAGCCATCCACAACTGTGGATACTTAGCCAGTAGTTATGTTGTTGCATGTATTGTTAATGTGTAACTACACAGTTATTAAAGACATTTAATATGAAGTGGGGCCTGTTCTTCTATTATTGTTATTGTTCAGCACCAGCAATATAAAAAAATTAAAGTTAAAGCAGCACTGTACACTAAAATATGGTGTGAGTCTGCTGTGAGTCAGGCTATAAAGCCTATAATAATGATTCAAAAGTCAGAGGCACCAGGTCGGATTTGGCAGGAGTTTTTCAGAACACAGCATACATGTTTATTGTTTAAAGTCACATGTGCAGGCTCAAAAACAAGGTCTGGCTTGATGTTTCAGTCTCAATTGAAACTCAACATTATACATTACATAGTGGAGCTGTTCATTTACATCATCTGAGGCAATAACAGATCAAATGTTAGTCCATCTGTTTCGCTGCATACTTTGTTAGCCCCTTTTTACAGTCAGGACCACCACAGAGCAGGTATTATTTGGGTGGTGGATCATTCTCAGCACTGCAGTGACTCTGCCCTGGTAGTGGTGTGTTAGTGTGTGTTGGTATGAGTGGATCAGACACAGCAGTGTCCATTATTGTCCAATCTATTAAACACTCCTACCTTGTAAGTTCACCTTGTAATCAGAGACAGTAGCTCATCTGTTGCTGCACAGTTTGTGTTAGTCGTCCTCTAGTCCTTCATCAGTGGTCACATTACACTGCCTACAAGGCGCTGTTAGCTGGATGCTTTTGATTGGTGGACCATTGTCAGTCCACTGAGGTGGTTAAAAGCTCCAACCACCCAAATAATACCTGCTTTGTGCTGGTCCTGACCACTGAAGAACAGGGTAGGGGTCTAATAAAGTATGCAGAGTAACAGATGGACTACAGTCTGGACTAAAGTGTACCTATATGGTAAGTGGAGCTGATAAAATGGACAAAAAGTATAGATTCAAGGAGATGTACTGTGTGGACAGGAGTGAACAGTACATTTTGACACTTTAACAATGTTTACATACTATGTTAAACATCTTTATTAAAAAAAACAAGGAAATAAATATTGACAATGTTAAAATATTTAGAACATTAGCTCAGTAAATTCAGAGAAACAAAAAACTGTTGCTTTGTTACTGTTTTTGTTTTGTATTCGAGCACTCTAAATTTGAAATGCTAGTATTACTATGCTGTTAACACTAAAAGGCCAGACCGAAGTTTTATTACACACTTCTATAACCTAAGAATAGCTTAATTAGTTTGCACTGAAATCAGTTACTCAATAATATGCCTTAGTTCGTAAACAGCCTGGGATTTTAAGGGGTTAAAGTGCAGTGTTTGCTTTAATTGAAGTGCAGTTACATATGTTTTGGAGGAATTAGTAACCTTACTTCCAGGGAATTGTACATAAATAGCAACTGTCTTTTTAGTTCTTGTTGGCCAACTTTTGTTCATACGTAAGAGAGCTAAGCAGATGTCTACAGCCAATTCCAGATGTGGCATTTGCCACTGGAATGTATTGCTCGAGGTTCATGGCATTGGCATAGCCAAAGCATGTATCAAAATCAAATGTTTGGAAGAACACACTTTTGAAGACAAAACTCTCTGGAATGTAGGTGCTGATGTGTCATGAAGTGGTGAGAAGCACTAGAGGCCTTACAGTATGATATTATACACCTACTATAATACTTGAGCCTTGCAAAAGCACTATTATCTTGTGGACTAAGAAAACAATGTGGTGTCCTGTTAGCTTACCAGTGAGCTCAGTGTACATTTAAAACAGCACTGATGGAGAAAAAAGAACACAGTAAAATATGGTGTGTGTGTGTGTGTGTGCAGTGGGTAAAGTGTGTTAAGCCTGAAATAATCGTTTAGAGGTTCCAGGATTGATTTGGCAAGAGTTTTTCACACCACGTCAAACATCTTTACATATTAACATCACATGTACAGACTGATGACAATTGTAAATCATTCAGCTTCACCAATTTTGACTGAGTTCTTATCGAATACTTTTACAACACACTCGCAAAAGTCAGATTAATCTGCTCAACCGACATTACACAAACGTTCTTCAGCGCATTGTGTGAAATTACATATTTCCACCAGAGAGGTCTCAAAATCCCCAAATCCTACATAATGTTGTTTTAAAGCATAAATAATTAATTAATACATTTTTGTGCACAGCCTGAAGTGGCATGAATGGCATTTTTTTTTGCCTTAATGCGACACAGATCTGGTTTCTCCAGAGCTGTGTGAACACACAAATCTGATCTTTTCAAATCAGATCTCAGCCACTTTCATACATGGCCCTTGATCAGACACAAATGCGACCTTAATGAGAATGCTTAGATCGGAATTCATGTGTTTTTTTGTTTTTTTTTCGCTATGCATGCACTGTTATTCAGCGTTAATGAATGAAAGTGGTGCAAAAGCAATGCATCTGACCCTTTTTCATCTTTGTCTTGCTCTAATAATGATCAGGTGAGAGCTGCTCAGAGCAAATTATAATCAATCATAAAGTGTTGTTTTGCTGGTTGGTTGGTTTGTTGTTAATGATGAGTTGTTTCAGGAAGTTTTTTTCACATTAATGACACATTTGAGTCAATTATCTATACAAATATGAACCATTGAGTCAGAAAAATCAGATCTGAGCAAAAAATCAGAACTTAGCAATGAGGCATGTAGTGTGAATGTAGAGGCTGATATTAGGCCTCTGTACATTTATACTTTTTCCCATAAATGTCACAATACAGTGAACATATACTACAGGTATGTGCAAAAGTTTGGGCACCCCTGATCAAATGACGTTTTGTTGATTTTCTAGCTGAAGGTTAAGGTTTATTTGCTGACATGTTGGAGGGGGAGGAAATAAAACAAAATGTGGCATATACAAAGCTTATGGCAAATTTTTAATATGCTGTTTTCTGTTTTGTTTTTTCCCAATATGTTAAATTCAGCTAACTAACCTTTGCAGGGCTATATTTAATTTTGTTTACTGTAGAGGATGTGTTAATGTATTTACACTGACCAGGGGGTATTCAAACAGCTTTATGTTGTGTTCATTTTTTCCCACCCTTTCTATAAAGTGAAGAAAACCCCAAATGAAAGTTTTTCCACAAGATGCAAAGTGCTGGTAAAAAAGGACAGAAAAAGGTTAGCTTTTTGACATCAGAGCTCAATCTTCATGGTGGTTCTCAATGATGATTGATCCCGCTTCCCCACCCTAGCCTAGGTCTTCATTTACGCATAGATTTGTATGAGATTATAAGATGAGGAAAAGGAAATGTGCTGTAGGTCTTGTGCCCCCTGTTCTTGTAATAAACCAAGAGGCCTGCTAGCGTTCTAATTTTGGCTTTGGGTTTTTAATTAGCTATGCCACCACAGAGGATTTGATATCCAGCTGATGTTCACTCAAACATCTGGTTTTCATTTAGGCAATACAACATAAGAAGGAGTATGGTTATGGTGAATAATATCACACATGATGTGGTTGCAGTAAATCGCCCATGATG